GGGATCGAAGAGTGGAGGATATGGTGAGCCTGTAAGGCTACAACAGGCGGAGAGTGTGAGGCAGGTCGGTGACTGTATGACTGCGACTTGCGGGAACCTAGCTGGTCTGACGGAAAGCGGCCGGGCGAGCGATAGGGTGGGGATGTCGGGACGAGAGTACCAGAGATATTGACGGTGGCGGCCGATGGAGCCAGGCAGCGAGAGATGGCCAAGTATATGTGGTCCTTTGCCTCAGCACGACGACCCTCCTCTCCAAAGATCTCGAGACGCCTAGAAGTGAGAAGTTGGCAAGGAGCGAGAGGTAGGTGAATATAGGTTGCGAGGAGGAGAGAGATGAGGCAGAGAGGTGGAGGTGTAGAGTTGCTTTCACACTTTACAGTGAGGATGACAAAGTTGGAGAAGTGGCACGGACAGCTCTGCCATTCACTGCACGCTGCACACGCAGCGGCGACAGGGGGGCTTTGCACTAGGCCCGTGCCCCGTGATGATCCGGGCTCCTTCGGCTTCAGGTGACGCAGTGGCTTCGCCGTTATCTTTTTTGACTCCGGCCCGACCGGTGTCTATGAGCTGCTACGGTGTCGAGAGTTCGTCTTACTGACCTTTGCAATCAGCACCATGCGCAGTGACTCCCGTTTTCGAGTCATCAGCAAGAAGTCAGCGAAAGAGCCAGCAAACCATGCCAAGTCACACGTGTTGCACCGCCACAGCGACCTTCCCAATTGGGCTATCGATAACGCTCCCAGCAACCCCGCACCCAGCTCAGCCACCGCGAGGCCAACAAAGAAGTCAACAACACGCGACGAACCCGGCCTTGCTTTCTCGCGTGCGGCGCTACCGACCTCACTATCAAAGCCCCTTTAACGCTTCAACTCCCTTCGACGTCCAACCCTCGTGCTCAACTCGGTGTCCTGGCCAGGCAGCTTTACTATGGTACCTTTCCTCAGCCGTATGCCACGCCATCAGTGCCCCACATACACTACCAGGCAGCGGCCACTGGGCCAGATCCCACCGTCTAGCACCTGGAACTAGAACTAGCTGGCTATGACACTGTGTACCGTAGGCAATCAGATTCCGTCGCATGTCGCTATTGGCTGGATTGCGGAATGGTGTCGACATGATGGCATGACGGCAGTTTGCCCTCGTTTATAGTCAAAGGTCTTGAGATTAGGGATTACTCTGGGGGGTGATGAATAGGTAACGTAAAGTGATGAAGGCGAGCTGTTTTCTGTACAAGACTATCAGTTGAAGTTGCTTCTGCCATAACTGTCGTCCTAGTCCGATCCTCACGCTAAAAAAGAAATTATCATGGTCGACTTCACGACGAACCATCCCAAGAGCAAAAAGACATATGTGAACATATTCCGGTACCGGGAATCGAACCCGGGCCTACCCGGCGCCGTAGCAACTCTTCTGATGAGAGCGGGTGATCCTAACCACTAGACCATACCGGATATTTGATGCTCAAAGGTACAGGGAAAACGTTCTTCAATCTTATCCACAAGTTATGAGCGCCAAGCTACGGGGCTGCATCCGTGGCGGGGAAGCTATGGGAAGGAGCTATTGCGCGATCTCCGTCAAAGGAAGGATTACCAGTATCGTACACCAGCTTCTCATTCCAATTCAATTTGCCGATATATCAATTCTTTTGTGTTAAAATGACCAACCAGGCTCCTTCTACCTTTGCTCCTGCTAATGTCAATTACCACAACTCCGCTCCTGCTAAAATGGCCGATGTAAACTGGGTCTGGATATGCTGCCATTGCCAGAGCAAAGATGTTGCCCCTACTCTAGTTGATGTGGCCCCCCGTGTTTAGGGTGCGGCCATGTTATTTGTGCCTCCTGCCTTAAGGAGTGGTGGGAGTGAACGATTCTTCTTCCTTAGTATCAGCTAGCCTTCCTTATCGTAACTCTAGAGTACTAATACATCAGGCTCGACCTCAAAGAGCGTTCCTCTTGTTTATCATATCTTGCGACGGACTACGGCGTTGAATCATTCTGGGCGCGCGCGTTCAGCTTCATCTTCAGCCTTGCCCGGCACCGGAAGCACAGGATGCCCTACACATTGCCGCCCCTTGAAGCCGAGCCACTATACAACAAGACGGAAGCATTTCCACCCGAGCCAGCCTGACGAGGACGTTCCATGGCCCACCGTTGAGCCCCATGCACTTTGGAGCAAAGTTACTGCGCTGAGACAGCCAGCTCCACGGCCTCACTCCAGCCTCGATGCATAAATCATCTATTTGGCAAGGTCCAGACGGCGTTAGCCTTCCCGTGGCTTGTTTGCTTGATTTTGGGCAAAACTCGTTCCTGCGTCTTGGTGCTCGTTCTGTTTACCTTTCGAGATGTAGGGCTTTGGAGCCCCGCCTCCGAGCACCAAGGACGATGTTCCGTGTCGAAGATCATATCGCGACCAAACTTAAGGCCACCTGACTGGCTTTATTATCTTCTCGAGTGAGGGCTTCATACGGCATATTGTACATCCGGCTGTCGTGGTAATTCGTCCGCTGTTTGTCGCGAACTTCTCATGCGGAGCGAAAGTACGGCACTCTAGCCTCTCTCCGGGTTCCCCACATACCCCTTATGCGAAACGCGGAAACGGCACTCCCACGGTCGATCAGGCTAAGACCACCACCCCAGGGCTATCAAGCTTTCAGGCGCTTTGATTGAATATCCACCGCCAACTTATCGCAAGAAGCTCTGCAAGCGTAAACATTGGCCACTGAAAGTGGGATTTCGAGCTTCCCGTGGTAAGGAACGTATATATGATGGACAGGCGCATCACATACTCGTAGTCTGTCAAACGACATTTGTTCATTTCTCCTCAAACATGCAGTTGCTCCTAACCCTGTTGTTGTCCGCCGTAGTCAATGGCGCCGCCATCCAGAAGCGCGACCCTCCGGTCGGCGGTGATGTGGTGGCAGCCCAGGTCCAAGCTCTCGCCGAAAGCATGCGCACAGCGACCCCGAAGAAGGCCATGAAGGTCGAGGAAATCACCCCTCGTTTTGCCGGCGCGAAGCGCCTCCGGCTCCAGTACGGGCCGTACAAGCTCAAGGCCGCAAATGTACGTTGTGACCAACATTAGACTGGGCCTTACCTAACCCGCGCAGAGCACGACCAGAGTCGGCAACGGCATGTCCATGGACAAGGGCGGCACAGGGTACCAGTACCTAGTAGCCGACGACTACCCGCGCGACGTCACGGTCCTAGAAACAGAAACCATGATCCTGGACGAGAAGTTCCAGCGCGCGGACACCAAGGACGGGATCTACAACCACCACAACGTGTTCATGGACTTCACGTCCGCGCCCGTGGCGGCGTTCGGGTGTGAAGACCTAGGGAAGGCGGCGACAATCCCCATTTCCGTCCTCTCGGGCGGCGCGACTGAGGTCGCGGGGATGACCTTCGCGGCGGCGAAGAATGAGATCAAGTCCGGGTACTACCTGACCAAGGACCGGCACGTGCTGAACATGATGGATGTGGTCAACTACAACAACGTCGAGCGGACCGTCTACATTTCCGCTGAGATCGAGTTCCTCCCCGGGAAGGTGCCTGGGTACCTTGATGCGCGCCAGCAGCTGGTTGATCCCGGGCTGTGCAGCGGTGAGAGCGGGACGGGTATCCATCCCCCTCACGGCGTGACCAAGTTCTCGGTCAATAGCACGGGCATCGTTGTCGCCCATGATGGGTACATTGTTAACATGCGGGGTCATCTACATGATGGTGGTGTCAACATCGTTTTCAAAGTCAACAACAAGGAGATCTGCAACTCTGTGGCCACGTATGGCGGCCCAGGCCATACTAGCCACACTTCAGACGGCAAGGTGTGGGAGACGATCGCTACGACGACCCTTTGCGACACGCCCCTCAAGGTCACCAAGGGTGACAAGATCTACATGGAGGCTCACTACGACTTGGAGCAGCATCCCTCGCGTGAGCAAGGTGGCCACGGTGGCATGAAGATGGGTGCGATGAAGACTGTTCTCGACGGTGATGATGGTGCTGAGCAGATGGCTCTGATTGTCACGCATTTCGCCTACGCAAAGTAGTTAGCTGTGTAGGAGAGTGGAATCGTGTACAAAGACACCAATTTGAGAAATGTTAGAGACGTCCATGCTCATCCCATGACTTCCGGTCAGCCTACAGTTTGTGTTGCTTCCGACCAATCGATCTCTTGGTGCATCCACGCCAACTCTCCGGCCCCACCACCGTACACTATCTTCGCTCCTCCAGATTGAAACCCATTGAGGCTCGGGAGTGTTATTTACTACTAAGTAGGCGCTTGAGGTAGGGCCTCGAAGCCGACGCGAGTCCAAAATTCTCCGTTCAGCGGACGGGGTCGGAATGTGGAGGTCGCAAGGCTGAGAGTGAACCAGGAATTGAATCATGAATGTAGAGCAGTCCACACCTACTGCAGCATGTACTCCCAAAAAGCCGCTGAGACCGTTTTGCCATCTCAATGTCCAGAATTCTCTGGTATTGTTATTTCCCCAATGAGCAAATGCTCGCCTCATTGCATTATGATTCCCCACCACCGCCCACCTGACATCAGCCAGCGTTCGTAGTTCAGGAATCTGGAGGAGAAGAGCTGGCTAACCAGAGTATTGAGGAACGGGATATTCTGCATCAAGCTGGAAGGATACTGCGAGTTTGCACAAGTGAAAACAGAGGCAAGATTTGGTTACAGTACATCCATACTCCGTGTAAATGCATCAGTTACCTGCCCGCCAATGAATCCTCGTCAAGACCTGTCCGCTAACCCGCGCTAGCAAATGCAACGGGCCGAACCGCAATCCCAAACGGGAAGTAGTCGCAAATTGATGAAGCCCCACTGTGCAAATTTATTACTCAATCCGCGGAATAGCACCGAGCTAGACAAAAAATGTGCCGAAGACTTCAAGAAAAGAAGCTGAATGACATGTTCGTACCAATGGAGAACCGGGATATCATAGAAGAGCTCCATCTATTCCACTTACCAAAATACATGGCCAGCAGCCAAAAGATGGACACACGGGGAATTGAACCCCGGACCTTTCACATACCCGCACTTGGTTAATGCGAAGCGAAAATCATACCGCTAGAACATGCGCCCTTGACACATCTGGTCCGATTTGATGGGGGTTATTTGCGGGTTGCGAGACTATGAAGTGGGTATTCGAAAGGAGGTACTCGTCGGGAGGCGGTCCAGAAGGGTCGCCATTCTCGCTTGCAAAGCTTGGATACGGGCTCGGCATTCGATGGGAGTTTTATTCATGCTGGTATAATGATTTCCAATGTTATACATCGGGAGACGGCCCCGAACACTACTTCAAGTCCCACATACACGGCTCGGCTTTGCAAACGTAAGCAAATCGCCTCTCCTTGAACGGCCTGCTCCCGGAGAAAAGGCTCGAAGGCGACATTCATTCGACATGGCCAGTTCCGGATCTGCCGTAAAGCATCAGATCTCGATGCCTCAAAGAGATTCTGCAGTGGCGAGGAAATATGTGGCCTAGCCCTTTAACGATCGTCGTGGCGCCCAGAGGTCAGCCCTGTGTGCGTATCGAACGAGCCGCGGCAACCGCGAAGCCGAGATCTTGAGCCAGCATCGCAGACCCGAATATTTAAAAACTGCCCTACTGATGCGGCGAAACGTATAACGGAAGAGAAAGGAAAGATCTTTTGCGAACGCCTCGGCCAACTGTGCCACAGAATTCTAAACGGATGCGACTTACGCGAAACACCCATCCAGCAGCCAATACGAGGCATGCGAGATCAGCCTTGCGTAGTTTGCAGGAACCCTGCATATTTCGACTTCGAACAGTGTATGACCCTAGGCCCGAGCGCCGCAATAATGGTAAGACGCGCTCGCCAATCTACGTTCGCACTCGTTTTGGTCGCGCGAAATGGCAAGCAGAGTGAGACTTTGGAATAAGAAATCAGATGTGTCCGCGGAAGCGACCCAAGTCACTCCTTCCGGGTCGCATTCACATTCGCTTTCAGAATGCGCTCGTTTTGCATCGCGCTCGCGGCGCTGGCGGCTCAGCTGGCGGAGGCGCAGTCGTCATGGGCTGTTGGGCAAGGTGTCCGCACGCGCAGCGGCTTCACGGTTACGGGGAGGAAGGGTCGTCTGGCACCGGAGGTGTCAGAGTACCTGGGAGTTCCATATGCGGCGCCACCGGTCGGTAACCTGAGATGGAAGCCACCGCAGCCGTACAAAGGAAATGGAACAATCAAGGCGACCGACTTTGTAAGTTGAGAATCCCGCATGAGAAGCGATCTGACCGTTGAAGGGTCCGAGTTGTCCTTCCCGCGATGCCATCTCCAGCAAGACGCAAGACGAAGACTGCTTGACACTGAATATCTGGACTAAGATGCAGACGGGCGAAAAGGCTAAGGCGGTTTTGGTATCCATCTATGGCGGCGGCTTTAACGTCGGCGAGAGCCGAACGCCGTACCTAAATGGTGCACCGCTGGCAGATCAGCAAGATGTAGTGGTGGTCAGCATGAACTACCGGCTCAACATCTTCGGCTTCCCGGGCGTCCCGGGCTTCGAGCACCAGAATATGGGCATGGAGGACATTCGCGCCTCGATCGAGTGGGTACGGGACAACATTGCCGCGTTTGGCGGGGATCCAAAGCGCATCACTCTCTTCGGAGAGAGTGCCGGAGGCGGTGCCACTGATGCGTACGCGTTTGCATGGCCGGAGGATCCGATCGTCGCGGGCTTCATTCCGCAATCCGGGTCCGTCTTCACCCGCGGAATTTCGGACAAGAACAACTTGGGCCCGTGGTTCAACGCCTCGTCGAAGCTGGGATGTGGTGGCCCGGAGGCTGGCGAGAAGAGCATCCCGTGCATGCGGACGAAGTCATGGCGGCAGATTATGAAATACGTCAACACCGGGCCGCGGGTGCCGGGCACCACCTTTGGACCGACATACGATGATAAGATCATCTGGGAGGACTATGCGGCACGCGTCAAGCTCGGCGCGTTCGCCAAACGGCCGACGTTTACGGGATCAACGCACAACGAGGGCGGCTTCTTCCGCGTCGTCAAGCGTCAGATGACGGACTCAGACGTGACGAGGATGAACCTCTGCTTCACGTGCGTAGCCATGAAGAGCGCAAAGGCGAGGATCGACTACAAGATCCCGATCTGGCGGTACCGCTACTTTGCCGATTACCCGAACAACCGCATCATGCCGGGAGCCGGAGCGTACCACGGAAGCGAGTTGCCGCTTGTTTTCGGCACGCCGAAGCTACACAATAACAATGGATCGAGCAAGGACACGGCTGATGAGGCCGCCTTGACAAAGGTCATGATGACGGCTTGGGCGAATTTCGCAAAGGATCCCGAGCACGGCCTGACCAAGCTGGGCTACAAGGCCTACGATCCAAATGGTCAGTATAGCATCGAAAAATGGAATAGCCACTAACCATTGCAGATACCACGCTCATCCGGTTCGGCTTCAACAACAAGCCTGAGGTCTCGTACGGGAATCCGAACGAGTATGACAAGGACTGCACCAAATACGAAGTGTCAACAGACTCGATCGACACCATTCTTGGACAGTATCCATGAGCACAGCCGGTGGATTAATGGGCTCGATGAAATAAAGAGAGAAAAGGTGTTCAGATGTCCGCGTTTTGACATGATGGAGTCGTGATCTCATGGTGTGCCACACCACTTGGCGCGGCCTCCAGCCACATCCTCCTGCATGTTGTGGCTGATCCGACGTCTGAAACACCAAGGCGGCAGGTCATTCTGGCATCGCGACCACCGACCCTCAACCTGCATCTGACTAGCCCCACGCGCACCTTACTGGCTCACGCTTCACTGTCACTTCGCAACCTTTATAGACGGTATAAATCTAATAAAATGGCGCTGCTCCTCCCGCTTCCTTTTGCTCGCTGTGAACCGTCTCATCGCTCGTTATTTGCACTGCCCAAGTTGATAAGCCAAAATGCGGGAATGTCGACCGCAGATAGCGTCTCACGTGCGCCTAGCAAACTTGGAGGAGCGCATCACTCCGCTCCCGCAGGATTACACAGCCATCAGCATCCTCAAGCCGGCTATTTATATCGAGCGGGACACCGAAACGAAAAGCAGCCTTCTCCATGCCGGCTCTCGAGAGACGCATTTCGATGAGGATGGGCCGGTGGAGGTGGAGTTTACAGACGGTGAAGGGGAATCCTGGAGGCGATGGCGCTCACGGGACCATGGCCACTCGCCCAGGGAGGTCTTTCGTATCAATGCCAGCTTTACGCTGGAAGTCGAGATTCCGACTTTTGATGAGGAGTAAGAAGAGCCTTTCTTTGTGAGCGATGCTGATGGTTCAGTTTCCAAAAATTCAACCGCTTCTTTGATTCCGTTTCCCTTCGCTGGCTTCTTCGAGATGGGGAGCGGTACGAAACTACCCCGCGAAGCCAAAGGATCGACAGCCAGGATCGGGCCTGCGAGCCGATAGACACTACAAGCAGCTGCTCTGATATCGCTTCCGCTGCGCCCAGTGCTCAAGTACATGTCCAAGGTGGCCAGACCCTGGCTGTTGAACGAAAGACGAAAAGCTGGAGGCGGGGTGTCACCGTGGAAGCATGTTCGTATCCCTGAGAGGAGTCGGTTATGTGGATCTAACACTGCTAGATCCACCGATAAGAGATAGCTCAACGCAAAAGTACTGTGCCCAGTTGACAAAGTTGTGCCAGTCGCCGAGGTCAAGGGCATTTTTTGGTGTGTTTCCAAGCCCGAGATTTCACAAGAGGCACGAATGCCACCCCCAGGGCTGGAATTGTAGATATGATTCCTGTGTTTACTGGGCGTGGCAAACCAATATAGGTCGCTCACTCTGGACTCCGGACCTTTACCAATGCATCTCTCTTCCTGTCACTATCACCCGCGTCGTGGAGGTGGGTAAAATCGAGGAATTGTTCCGCAAGGGTCGCCATCGGGAACTTGATCGGTACCTTCACTTCGACTTCACAGCCGAAGTCCGGGTCCGCGAACTTGGGCGATGCGTCAACTTCTTCACCCGCTCGGCCGTTCCGCCCGACATTCGGTTCAAGAAAGATTCCGGCGAGCCGCTCCCGGCTGACCTCTATGCGTTTTGCGTGGCGTGTCGAGGGGACGACAGGACGTTGTGGCCAAGGTTCAGGACTCCTAACCTGCGGCAGGTTGCAACGCTGTTTTGCAAGCAGGTGCATCTGCTAGCCCATTTGATCAGACATGGGGCTGACCGAACCAGAACTTGAGACACGGGGATATCCCTCGCAAACTCCCCTTCGGCGAAGACCTCAAGGACCTCATCAACCGGCAGCGACAACAGGACTACCTCAGCAAGAAGAAACTCGAGCTCGAAATCCTAGAAGTAAAGCAAGCAGAACGTAAACTCCGCTCCGACCTCCGCTACCACCCACCACCCCCCCGATGTCCCCCTCGAACCCCCTCTCCGCCCCGCCGTCCACCCCCTCGCGCCCCCTCCCCCCCCCGCCTCAAACCCTGCGGCTGCACCCACTGGGACTGCATCCACATCCGCCTCTCCGAGCACCACCGGTACAAGCCCCGCGAACACGAACACGAGCACCAAGGCCACCTCGTCCGCCGCACAACAACCCATCGCACGCTCATCCACCGGCCCCCGTCCCCCCGGCTTCGACCCCCGCCCCGCCCTCCCTCGCGCCTCATCCGCCTCAAAACCGTCGTCCCGCGCCAGTCCTCTTTAGCCCGCATCCGCTTCTCCTCCCACCATTCTTCCTCTCACCACCACCCCCCGCAACGACACCACGACCCGCCCCGCCGCGTGCGCCTTGAGCTACGCCGCCCGGCGTCCGAGCCCCCGCAACACAGGCGGCCCGACCCGGTATACCATACGCTCCCCGTCCCGCAGCAGCCGCAGCCGTGTCCTGCGCCGGTCGGGCCGGTGTATCCGTATCCGGTTGTGCCGGCGCCGCGGTGGAGGGAGGAGCCTGAAGTTCATATTTTGCCGGTGTCGGGGCCGAGGTTGCGGCTGCGGGAGCCATCCTCGCCGAGTTCATCGAGTGCGTCCCGGCGGGGTTGTGAGGATGGGTCGAAGTCCTCGAGTTCGGCTTCGTCATCTTCTCCCACCTCGTCTTCGTCGTCATCTTCCTCCCCTTCCTCGTCCTCGTCCTCATCCAAACCCTCTTCTTCGTCTTCTTCGTCCTCCCCATCCTCATCTTCTTCTTCTTCTTCTTCTTCTTCTTCATCGTCATCGTCCTCTCCCCCATTCTTCACCCGTCCTATCCCCCACCACCCCCCGCCGCCACTGCACCCCCCACACCCGCACTACCCGCCTTACCACACCCCGCCCCACGACCCCTATCACATCCTCCCCGTCCCACAATCACCACCCCGACACCCCGGCCCCATCGGTCCAGTCTACCCACCTCCGTCACAAGCCTCCCCACCAGTCCACATCTTCCCCATCCCCTCCTCACCACCCCGCCGCCTCGGACCCATCGGTCCCATCTACCCCCCACCACCGCAGCACTCCCCATCCCCCCCGCGCCGCCCCACCCCACCCCGCGTAATAATCTCCCCACCCAGCGACGCACCAGACGACGAATACCACATCCTGCCCATGCCCTCCTCCTCACCCCGCCCCGGGCCCGTGGGGCCCGTCCTCGGCATCCGGCTCGAAGACGGCGAAGTACACACGCCACCTATTCGAGACCGGGAACGGAGGAGGGTGCGCATCGTCACGCCGGGGGATTGTACGGATGACTATGTGCGTACTTCGAGGGAGTATTTCCGGGCTAGGGTTGAGGATGGGGAGGAGGAGTGAGAGGCCAGAGACGCGTTTTCCGATTTCATTTCTTGATGTGTATTATCAATTTATATCATTTACTTGTCATTGCAATGTACCAAAAAAGCCAACCGCCCAATCCATCCGTCTCAGTCCTTCATCTCCCGGCCCATACCTAGAACTATAACTTCGCCGTCGGCTCCTTCGTGCAGCAACTCTCAACCTTCCCATCCTCACCCACCTTCGCCTCAACCTCGCCATTCAGCCCCACACTCTTATTCACCGCCTGCACACTCGGCGGGACATCCAGCGCCGGATTGCGATCAAAGAAATTAACCGGCTTAAACCCAACCTTGATAATCTCCACCGGCATGACCGGGAAATCCTCAATCCGGGGCACATGATTCAGACCAAACTGGACGAAAACGACAATATCCTCATCAACCACGCTATCGCCGCGCTTGCTCCACGTGCGCACGCCCGCATCGCCGCGGCTCTGGTTCGTATACTTCCCGCCCGAGTACAGCTCATCCGAGACCAGGGCGCGAGAATCAGTAGCCGAGTTATTCCGCACCACATACACAGCCTTATCCGCGAATTCCGCGCGACGGTAATTGAAGCTCTGCTTATCCGCCAGCATGGGCTGGAAAGCCGGGATGTGGATTTTATACGCAACAGGCTTGCCATTGATCGGGTTGCGGGAGGCGACGTTCTGAATCTTGAACGTGCGGTTCGCGAAGGGGTCGATGTCCAGGCCCCCGGCTTTGGATACGACCGTTTCATGGACTTCGTAGCCGGTGCCGTGCGGGTTGAAGTCGCTGCGCGGCATCGCGTGGGCTTCTTCGTACACGAGCCGGTTCTTGGCCGAGCCGTCGAGATGTGGGTCCACGCGGAGGCTGAAGATATGCTGGTGGTGCACAGCCAGCACACCCGGGTGGACGCGCGTACCGAACGGGACATCCACGCCGTCGTCAATGGGCTGCGTGGAGAGGATGCCCGTGGCGCGGACCTCGTACTCCATAGCGCCGGTCTGGTCGAAAATGAAGGCGAGGATGTACTCGTAGTTCGCAACGGTGATGATGCTCTGCAGGACGAGTTCGCGGCGGCGAACCACGGCCGCGCGCATCGTGCGGTAGTTCGTGTGCTTCCATCCAATGCCGGCGTCTTGCTCGTGGATGCAGACGACGTTCGGCATCTCGATCGGGGCGCCTTCGTCGTCCGTGAGCACTGAGGAGAGGTAGTAGATCGAGCCCAGGCAATCGCAGCCCAGTTGCAGGTCGTTGGCCATGAGGCCTGCGCCCACGTCTCCGAGGTCGAAGGCGGACTTCTTGTGGTACGGGTGGCGCGGATCGGCGTAGGGGATGTTCATATCGGAGAGGGAGGCGCGGTAGAACAGCGGGCGATTGTCGTAGCGGATCTAGGAGATCAGCCACGGTCGCTTTACGGAAACAGGTGACTCACATCGTGCAAAACCATGCCCTCGCGCTGGTTAAACGACACACGCATGTGCCACTTCTGCCATGCCACGATTGAGCTCGTCCCCTCATTCTTGACGGTAAAACTTGCGCCCTCAGGCTGCACCACGTTCAACGGCTTCAGGTCCGTTCGCAGCTGCTGGTACTCGGGGATGTACTCGTTAGCCGGGCGGATGTGGATAGGCCCCAGCGGCTTGATCATGTTGTCAGCTCCGGTGGGGAGGATGTCGATGCGCACGAGCTTCATGTCCGCGGTGCTGATAACGGGCGAGATGGGGAGCGGGTGCGCATAGTGGCACGAATCAAGCTCGCTCGAGTTGGCGGTATCGCGCGTGTACAGGTAGCACTGCCACATGCGGTCGTCGTCGTTGACGCCATCGGCACCTGGTATATTAGCTGGGATGCTTTCGATTCTACGCATCACGTACCGTAAATCCACGGGTCGCACACCACAACGGCGCCCTCGGGCAGCTGCAACTTCGCAATCTCAGCCTTGACGTCCGGATGCTCGAGCGCCAGCTTCTCGACCGCGATGATCTCGGCTCCATCACCCGCGCCATGAACATTCGCGCCGAGGCGGACGTTGCGCTCGACCCTGCCGGAGGACAAATTGACGATGGCTTCATGGAACTTGTTCTACGAAAATTAGCCTCTGTTCATCTTACGAATTGCTGAAAAAAAATGAGTAATGTTCCATACTGTGTTCCGCAGGTAGTAGTTCACGAGCACCTTGCGGGGCACGTTGGGCAGCGACTTCCCCGCGTGCTCGGCCTCCAACACGGCAAGTGCCAGCGCTTTGGGTGGCTCCTCCAACGTCACGGTCTTGAACTGGAATTTGGCCTCGGCGGGCCATAGCGAGCGGATGAGCTTCGAGGCAGCGGTGATTTCGTCCGCGCGCAGGGCGGCGAGGGGATGTGTGGGAGCCATTGGTAATGTTGAGGAAGCGTCTGAAGATGCGCAGCAATTGGAGCTTATGTAGTGATCTGCGTCGCGGCAATATCTCTGCGGCGTGACGTGCTATCTAGGTGTCCTGGTCTAGATGCTGCAGGTGATGAGGTTGGGGGGGCGGGACAGGGAGGGGGAGGTGAGATACAGAGACGTGGGATGAAGTGGTACATGCAGCTTCGTCTTATATACACTAGGCTTCACACAATTCCCGGGACTCATGCGCCGGGTATGACTCGGGGGACTGATGGAAAAAGTAAAGCTAGACACAGTTACTATGCTAGCTCCCTTCGCCAACGGGGCATCTTTTGACGAGGTTGAATAATAATGGGGAAGGGTTTAACGTCGAGATAAGACTGGGGCGAAAAGGCGTTGCGGGGAGGCGAATCTCGTCCACAAATCGCGGAAGGGATTACCGCGTCAATGGCTTCTTTGGGATGCCGAGAGGTGGAGATAGGGAACAAGCTTCGCCGTCGCCAGTCTCGGGTTGTCAATCTATCGCTTTTTCCACCACCGTCATTCTCTATCTTCCCTCTTCATCCCCTCCAACAAGCCGTGATAATCCTCCGCCTGTGCGCCAGACGTGCGGGTCCCCTGCCCAATGGCGCGTGGAGCTGCCGCAACAGGTTTAGCCCCGCCAGGATTAAAAGGCCGGCAGCGCGGGGGGTTGAGGGAGCAGGACGTCGACCCCGCGATAGAACGGCGGCAACGGCAACGAACACAACTCCTCCAGACACATACACCACTTATCTACCCGTACTCTGCTGCCGTTTCATGTGACAATTGCTGCCGCCATTGCTCCTGCAAGCCCGCACGATTCTCGGATCAGCCAGAGCGGTATCAAGCCGTTAGGCCCACGCCCGACCACCATGCAGCATTACGCCCAATGTCCAGCCCCGCAGCTTCCCGCATATGCTTCGAAGGAGCTTCGCTACTGGAAGACGCGCGGAGCTGCCCCGCGCTTGCACCTTACTCACTCCCCCACCAGCTGTCTGCCCATATCCCCTTCGGCGGGGATAACTACCCGTACCTCAAGACAGCAGGTCCTTGCGACTGCCGATGTCTGCTATAGGATAGGCGACTGGATATCTGATTACACCTTGGCCTGGACACTTTAGCAGGGGCGCAACTAGTACGTGCGGGACGGGATGTTGTCGTTAGCTAGCATTGACGGGCATGGGGCCTTACTCCGAATGCATTGAAGGATAGAGAGTGAGATCTACCGGCTCTGCCAACCTTCGTGGCGCTTGTGGTGGGTTTCATGCCGCAATTCGGCGTGTTTGAGGGAATTGACCTATGGCCGGTAAGAGCTGGTATCTTAGTATCCGTGACATGCGGGGCACCAGTGATGAGGCATATCGGCATCAACATATTAAGGCCTCATCCCTCAGCCTAGGCATGTGAGACGGAGCAACTATCCGTCCCCGCCGTAGAGGCCTGCAGAGCATCCATAAAACTGAGGCATTTTGGTGATTGAAAGCTTGCAGATGCAACTCGTTGGCGTGACGCTTAATATCGGAACCAGAGGATATCGAAGACGGCTAAAGCCCTGGTGGTAATGTACTATGAAGTGAGGTCAAGCTTTCGTGCCATTTAGCGAACCACCGTCTCCATGGAAGGGGCCCGTGGACGCCTTCGCTTTTGAGATTCTTGTTTTGTCAGCATATGTGCAGAGCGCTCCAATTTTTTGGCACTCAAGGAGTCAGAAAGCCCCTATAGCGCAGAGGTAGCGCGTCGTTCTTATATGGGTCTTTGCACCAATATGACAGGTCATCCTGGCAATGCGAATGTCGTGGGTTCGATCCCCACTAGGGGCACTTCTCTTTTTACCATTTGCTCCTATTGGCTCTTCCGCAATCTCGCTGGGCTCGAGAGCGAGTCGGTGCTTTTGATTGCGTGCTCCGAACTGGCCGTTGACGAACGAGAGGCTTGGAAGCCAGGGCGTGGCGTTGTGGCTTGCAACATCAACAACTTCACTTCAAGGCCTCGTCCTCTAAGGAATGCATACACGTCGACCGAAGTTCTCCTACTTTTTTCAGTTTCGACCGCCCGTTGCACGACATATTCTCTGCCCGCCTTGGCCATTTACTAGCAAACGACTCGGTAAGGATGTACGCTTTTCACTTCTAGTTGCTAGCAAGAATGGCTATGTTCCAGCTCCGATGGTGTACCTCCTGATCCGCAAAATCAAGCGGGTAGTATCCGATCAAGGTCATCGCGCGATATAATTCTCCGAATAAACTGTATCATTCTTTACCGCGGAATTATATAATCCTAAGCCTCCTTGGATAACCTACCGATCTCCCCTCGCTAACGAATTGAGAGCAATTCAGCACAATCAGCAAAGAATCTCTATCAAATACGAACCTGCGGTGCGGCCGTCTTCAATCGAGCCACCGTCTGTCAATCATCAAGAACAGGAAGCCATTGCGGCTGTCCTCCATTGAGTCCACCATCCCTCCTTTACGAAGGAGAGGAAGCGAAAAGCGTGACATGAAGCCCATGCGGCCCATGATCGAGTACAAGCAAGGCCTGCAGATGGCTCAGAAGAGCAAGGCGCTCCGATACCTCGGTAGTTTGAGACAAGTGTGCGGTGACCCAGTGCTTACGCGAGATAGAAAGCTCTGCGATGAATAATCGCGGCGTCAACGAACAGTTCACAGAGGCCGCGCGGGTTGCCCCGGCCGTCAAGAACGCGTGGTGTTGGATTAGTAGCGCTCCACTTCAAGAGGTGAAGAAGACAAAAGATAGACTTTGCTTACTCCTCTACGGAGTATAAGTCAACTTCGGCCCAAATCATGGCCGTCAAACGGGCGTTTCATGGGTGGGTGATACGACTTCACGCCGATCTTGTGCAACCACCTGGAACAATGTCGTGCGAGCATGTGAGGTACCACGGTTGAGTCGTTTGTACTCTTCCCAGGTCCGTCTCGGGCAAAGAGCAGACGGTGTAGAGTCTTCAGAAAGGCTTATGCAGCCTCGATGGGCAAACAGTCAGTCTCGGTTTTGTACCGAGAGGATGCGCGGGCTAAGTGGCCCCTCGACGACATTGCCAGGTTGGCCGGCCAAAGTCACGCCGGCACGAATGTAACTTGAAGGTCCATGCATGATTAATTTCGGCATGGCTTCACGGGTAACCACGCGCAACAGGCGGCCGGTTGGCCATGCCGCTGGCTAATGAACGACCCCTTTCTATGGTTGGAGAGGATGCCAGTCGGACTTTTGCAGGTTTCGAGCTAAGCGGCCATGATGGTAACAACGTATCCTGTCTTCCCATAAAATTTGATCTGATCTAATCTCATGTACGCACAGACATAAAGGCCGTCCTCCCGCCGGGTTTGCGGTCACGCCAAACGAAGGAAGTCGCGACCATCCGTCGGAGAACGTACCTTCCCAGCCTGGCAAGCTGCATTGTACGCGACTACCCTTCGCGGCACTCACACACCTCGCCCACCAAGAAGGCAGCAACGGGGCAACGGCCAACGGGAGCCGGCGCTGTAAACAAATACTCAGCAACGTCCTCTCCTTCTCGCTTCCTCCATCTTCCTCCACCCGCACTCTCCCTCAATTCTCACCACGCCACGCCTTCTCTCGCTTTGTTCCAAAAATCTGCAAGATCCATTCATACAGTCCCTCTTTCAGAAAACCAAGGGCAGCAGCAATGCGTCCTTCATCTGTCCTTGCTGCCGTCCTGGCCGTCGCGCCTGGCCTTCGTGCCGCGGTGCTTCATCATACATACACCAGCATTTCTAGGATCGCCGCTGCGAATGCCTCGGCCTGCACTGCGGAAACCTCCACGGTCACCGTGTTTGTCAATGGTTTGACGTCCTCGGTCACTGCCAACCCGGCTGTCTCAGCGGCCCCTGACTTTGCGGCGCCTGTCCAGTACGGGGCTGTGGGTTCGGAAGTGGCTCCTGTCAAGTCTGTGGAGTCTGTTCCTGCTTCGTCCATCACGTCGATTGAAGCTAGCCCGGTCCAGACGGCGTCCAAGCCTGACTTCGGTGGCCCCTACACCTTCGGCATTGACAATGGAACGACTAGTTGGGCGGGTGGTCGCGCTCCTCCGACTTCAGCTACCCCTCTGAGCACGCAGATCCTCCTGTCGACGATCTTCGTCTCGCCTATTCGCAGTAAGTAAAAGTCTGGACTTTTTCTTATTTCCTCTCATTGATTGCAATAGCGGTTTCGTATGGTGGCAATCTGGGCAGGTCCTGGTCTTCGAAGTGGGGTACCTGGCCGGCGACCGAAGCCTTTTCCTACGAAGTCGCAGGTGCTACGGAGGCTGCTATTGATGCTGAAGAGTCCACACAAGGCGCTGGGGCAATGAAGACTAAGGACAGCATCCCGACAGGTTCCTTCCCCACATACACACCGGTCCATGGCATGGGTGTCTTCCCATCGGCTGCCGGAGCTTCTGCTCCTACTGGATCCTCAGGAACTGTTGGTTCTTTCAGCGCCGCGACTGGCACCACGCGTCCGAAGGCATCTACCTTGCGGATCACTGTGAATGCGGCATCTCGCTCCGTTGGAACGGCGGCCATTTTCAGCACCGCCACCCATAAGTCAACTACCACGGCTAGCATCGACGCCTGTGGAGCTGATGGCGAGCGCGGCAACTTCACCCTGACCGTAAGTCAGCCTTTGGACATTGTGAACATAGCTAACTCGACAAGTGGGACGACGAGCCTTTGTTGGTGTCCAAGCCTAATGAGGTGGATTTCACGCCCGTTTTTAACCCATGTAAGTGTCAAACCCGCCGGACCCTGGAGGATACTGATAGTTCAGATCACCACATGTTCTTCTCGAACGGGTACGCTTACGTGCCGCCTCCAGGCGAGCCGTTTGATGCGGCTTCGGCTCCGAACCTGGCAATCTTCCTCCCGAACGCCTCCCGCACTGATGTCGGCTCGGCCGACGGACCGGCTGTTCAGCCAGGCGAGATCGGTGCTGGTCCGCGCGCCAACTCGAAATACTTCCACTTCGGTGCGTTCAGCGCGGAGATGGGATGCGATCATTCCGGCCTTGATTTCTGTCAGATGATGATCACGGGTTATGGCTGGGAAGGTGGCAAACAGGTGGTGAAGGTTCGGCAGGAGGTGGACATTCCGCCATGCGACACGATGCCCCACTGCAAGCTCTCGCATATTGGTTTCCGCCAGGACTTTAGGGACCTGAGCGGCATCCAGTTTGAGGCGTTTATCAACGGGACGCAGCGGATCTTTGTCATGGACAATCTGCAGCTCCAGTGGACGGACAATAGCTGCGAGGCTGGCACATACCGCACGAGTCACCGCAAGTAGCAGCAAGGAGGACCTTCCGCTGGATGTGGCTCGCCAGGGAGCTGCTGAAGGGGCTATTTCTTGAATGTTATTTGTACTCTAGGTTGTATCTAGATACTGGGGGCTCGGGGCTCGATAATCGGTAATTGATGAGATGATGCTGAAGCTTTGAAGGTGTGGCAGTGCAATAGTACTAAGTTGGCTTGACATGCATGAGGCCACGCGGTCCTGAGACAGGTTCATCAGCAGGAAAACAGGACGAGCAGGTTTTGGGAGATGACGTTCAGAGAAAAGAGTCCGGTGTCGGCTGCTGGGCCCCATGGCTCCCTAGGGTGGGAATGGTCCTCATGATGCTCGGCGGGGGTGGTGTGGGTCTGAGAGACAAGGTTGGGGGCTATGGTGGTTGCGTGGAAGTGTTTGAGATTTATGGTGGGTGATGCTGGATTTAGCTCGTAGGTCATCTGGGTGGGAAAGATGCTTGTTATGAATCTTGGACCTAAGGCTGCTGATAGTGGTAGATGGTGGGGGGGTTAGGTGTGATTGTTCATGTGATGGAGGCTCATGGGGGCTGGATCGGGTGTGGATACATGGGTTTGTGGTGTTCCACGAAAGACGACCGGAGATGGAGGCGGATGCTTAAGAGGGCTGCGCTACGCCGGTGCTGCTGCTGTTGGGCTGAGTGGGGATTGTGGCTAGATGTTGAGGCGACTCTTGATGCAGCACATGGGATTGGAGGGGGATGAGTGGGTATGAGGGGAGGAATAAGGGAGATATTCTTCGTGTACGCGCCATGGACGGCATATGTCGTACTTCTCTTCCCGTACGCTATGGGAGGTGTGCGCCGCGGGCCGTCAGCCGCGTGGTTGAGATGGTGGGCGTGGGGTGGGAGATGAGGGGGGATTTAGAGTGCGGGTGTTGGTGGAGTATCTTGAATTCTATTGCTTACCCGGCTTTCTCTTCAAGAGTTAAGTGAGATGCTGCTTTCGGTGGATATACGTGTACGGATGTAGACTTCTCTCGAAGCGTAGGAGGACGATTATTACGCCCGTCACGCGCGTCTGCAGGCAGCGAGCAACAGCACAGAGCAGAGAGAGAGGGGACAAGATAGCCCCCCCATCCCCCCCGCACATCACCACCCCCGGCTCCATCCCATCCTATCCCACGAGAGCAAACAACCCAGACCCAAAAAAAATCGACGCATCCGTTAGAAACTACCCTGTCCTCCGCTCTCGCCCCATCTCGATACACGATCCGCATAGCATCATCAATCATCGCCAGTCCTCCCCAAAAACGACTATCACCACCTCCCTCTTCTCCCCCGCCGCCCGCCCGCCTACCGCCCGCCCAGCCCCGACGCCACACTTCCCCCCACACACCGGCCTCCCGCGCGCAGCAGAGGCGCAAGCAGACTCGCTTAGCTAGGCCCGGGCAAGCACGAGGGCAGGACGAGGTACCTCCTCTTCTCCGCGCACCCCTCCCGGCTATCTGCACCACTACAAGTCGGCCTACAACAAATCGGCCTACCGCAAACTCTACAC